GGTGCTTTCTGCTGTAGACAAAAGAAGACACGGAAAATAATTTTAGGCGAGTCAATGCAATTTCTCCGCACCTGGTTTCTTGACAGCTATTCATCCAGCAACCTGACCAGGCATTTTTTGATCAAGTTATATAAGACTAAACGCGGTGAGAGGTAACTGCCATCTTCCTGATCATCGTATCTGTGCAACAGACGTTTCTTGACTCCTTCCAAGTGCCTGGCGTTATATTTACCAAAAATTACGACATGAACCAGGTGCAAGAGTCTTCAAAGGCGCTGTCTTCCATCCCGAAGAGACTAATTTTCATACTATCAACCCGATTTCAGAGCAGTACGTCTTACATTATCGACAGTTATAGCCTGTTGGAATATCTGGCTGCGCATATGACATGACTAGGCTGCACGAAAGTTCCTACATATTTCCTTCATGCCTTTTCAGCTAACGGTTCATCATCGATTCAGCACTGTCACTACGGTACCGCAGAGCAACAGCTCCCTGCTAAAACTTTTGAGACTTTGTTTTCTTGGAAACATGGCTTCCCTGCCATGCCACTACAACTGCCGAAGCTTCCTTTTTACCGGTCGATCTGCACAGACTTTCCCATCCCCACTGCTGTCTCCATTCATTTCCGAGAACTTTCTTGACAATTTCTCGCGATGTTTCCCCGTTGACCGCACTGGGCCACTATCACTGACCCATAAGAGCAGTATTTCCCTCAGCAGCACAGCTCTGCCCACCGTACGTGGTGATGCTTTTCTGTACTCATCTGTAGTACATATCAGGCAGTTTGCTCATTCCACCAATTTTTTCAGTCTGTTAGTGCTGTCCCTTCATTTCCCATCAGACGGTAGTTCCACAAAACCTCTTTCCTATCCATAATCTCGTGTTAGAGATGCGCAGGTATTAGTTCAACTTGAGAGATGAAAATCGACTGTACAGTAACGTAAACTTCTTCAGTTCTACAGCCGTCAATGCCCAAAATAGATCTGGATGAAGGGAGGGGGGTCTTTTCTGTGTAGTACACTGAACTTGCGATTATGATAAATCAACAGAGAAAAGCGGAATGATCTACGATCATAAAAGGTGATGCAGAGTGATCGGCGGGGACTAGTCTTTTTTAATAAAGAAAACCCAGTCACACAAGTCCAGAAGTAACAGCTCTCGGAAGCTTAATCATTTTGAGCGTGGTTTCCCGGTGTGTTTGGACCATGCCGTGGAAGATAAGTGATGACTCAGGTCTGGTCTAGTCGACGGTGATCGAGTGTTCTCGCCCGAATTTCGCTCTACACCGTCCAGCTAAAACATACGAGCAACGAACGCTCCGAAAATTATTGTTGTAGGACCGATGCACGGTTAGGCATTTCTCCAAAAGTGGTCGGTTCACAACCACACTGTCTTATCATGCTACAAAGTCGTTCTTACTGTTCCGGAGAGATCAGTGCGTTCCGACAGAGCACTGAGTCCTAAAAACGACTTGATCACACAACTGTGAACCAATAATTCCCCAAAAATTTTATGCAGCTACTTCAGACAAGATCAGCCACCTTCATAATTGTATTGTAAGGCGAGATGAATGTTGTAACGAGATCCAGATATCGCGAAGTAAATACAAGTGCAAATAACATCTGCGATTTTCCAGAAATTCCTGGAAATTTTTGCTCTTTTTATATGACTCATGAGAACGATGTTTTATGCTAAAATTTCTGAAGCAATCACTGATAAATGCAATAGCCTGTGTTTCAGGACACTTGCAAGTCCCTCCCGTTCCGCGATATCTCGGCATGCGCAACAAAGTTTGCTACTTCCCAGAAGCG